GCGCTTCCAGCACAGCCTGCCCCACGAATGGTTACTGCCATTCAGCCAAGTCACTTGACCATCTTTGATCTCAGGAACTCTGGGAAAAATAACAGCAAAATGAACAATGGCTCCACAATTCAGAAAATCTGACTAAAACATGATGGGGCTGGGGTTCACATGCAGTGGCTCTAAATCCGCAAGCTCTTCTGCCTCCTTTTTCAGAGACCTGAAGTATTAACTTTCCGTCAGACAGGGAGAAGAGACACTTGAGAGCTGAATTCACATCATCCCTTCCTGCTCCCCTCGGTGACAGTACCCGGCTCCCCCAGGAGCGGACCCCAGTGCTTTAGTCAATGAGCTAACGAATTAGGTTTGTTCAACGAGACGAAGGAGGCTGCAGCCTCTCCCACAGAAACAGCTTTCTCTGGGCAGCGGTAACAATACATTCAGTTTGCATACACCCCTTCGAGCGGCTCTGGGGTCTCTCAGCAGCCCGAAAAGTATGTGACACTACCTGTGCTATGAAGGTCAGTGCTTCTATTTCTTCTTTTTCTACAGCCAAACATTAGCCTTCCAGGACATCCAATGCTACTTTCAACCAGCAGTCCAGCAGTACATGACATGGCAGGTTTTTCTGTCTGTCTCAGTGTTCAATTAAAACAGCTAGTCAAAACATTTTAAAGGAATTTCATGGAAGGTACAAAGCAGATCCATGTCTTTACAAGGATTTAGGAATATCTTTTACATAAGTGTCTTATCTCCTATGTTCCCTTTCATAAGAAAAGGGGTGTGATAAAGTAACGATTTGAATAATAATATTAAATTATATCTGATTAAATATTATGTAATATCCGATGTTGAAAATTATTTAAAGTTGTATGTAAAAAAGGATTTCTCTTCTCCAACTCAGCGTTTCACTTTGAATTGTCTTTAGAACATTGTAAATTCATTTCAGACATCGTAAATACTTTTTTGCCAACTACTTACATCATACTAATTGCAGTAGTAAAGAGTCTTTTGTCTTTAATGTGTTTTTGCGAGCTTATAGGAGGAAACTGTAAAAATATTGTCAGACTTTTGCATCAGTGGACAGATGGGTTAAAAGCTGCAAAAGAACTAGGGTACAAGCCATAGGGACCTAAAAAGCAGACTTTTCGAGATGATGAAAAGTTTTGCACATTGCAGGATTACCCAGATCTGTAATTCAACAGAGCATGAAAGGTCCAGGTTGCGTTTCACTACACAGAGGTACTGAAGGAACCAAAGCAATGAACCAGTCCACAGAACATGTGTTTAGCCTGCCTTCTGTAGCCAGAAAAGTAATAAACTAGTCTCAAACCCAGCATAAATGCGTTTTCACCATTCTTCTAAAGAGGCAAGACAACTAAAGCACAGTGAGAACACAAGTTCGGTATCATCTTCTGCCAGACATTAAGACTGATTTCTCTGTCTATGAATCTCAAACTCCCAAGGCTAGTAAAGAATCCTTGCAACTAATTTTCAGAAATACTTAACTTAGTATGCCCTTATTTTCTGACACTGTAAGAAAGTGTTAAGTAAACTAGGAATTCTCTACATCATCCTGAGTACAGCATCACATTAGCTCTCATGTTCTGAAGATAGTCCACAACTTACTAGCATGAAATACTGCCAAAAATGTTACATGAAACAATTAAATGTGGCACTGAAATGTAAAGCAAGCTGTGAAGAGGAACAGGAACAAGATTCTTCAGGGGAGAAACAGCAGATGATGGAGTATGCACATTGTTATTAAAATGGCAAAATACCTAGTCTCATTTTGCAGATAAGCTTCAAATGTTACTGCTCCTTTCCAAGCTGCTCAAATGAACAGTGCCGCGGCCAGCTCGTATAACAGGGAAATTGCCAATGTTCTGAATGGCAATTCAGAAAGCCCATGCACTCAAGGCCCAATGATTGAAAGTTAATATGGTAAATTTAAAGGATAAGTGTGCTTTGTACATTAAGTACATTTTTCTCAAAGCTGTTCTATTAGTAATACTGAGAAATGCTCAAGGACCTTCACCAGTGAAATACTCAAAATCACAGCAGCACGTAGCTCTAAAAGCATTTATTTCCTGTCCTGAAAGCAAAATTGGAGAGAAATAAGACTTTCATCAAGCCAGGCAGTTGTTTCAACTATGAAAATGTATACTTGATGAATTAGCCTGCCTGCAATGTAAAGGTATACAGTGAAGTACGCAATAGCCAGTGCTTTCTAAAGCCTTTTAAGACTAATTGAGTATCCTTCCCAAAGATGCACATTCCCTCCTCTTTTGCAATAGATTTCTATTGAACTTACACATAAAATACTGAAAATGCTTGAAACAAACTGAAGCATAACACACGTGTTCACTCCCACTCTGACTTCAGACTTTGCGTAAACTTTCTGAAAAGATGGCTGCCAGCGGAAACACACACCAGAGTAACAACTGTTACCAGGAGATTAAAGGAATTAAAAAAAAAAGAAAAAGGTGGAAGATTAAAAGACCTTTTTAATCTTATTAATCTTTTTAATCTTATTAATAACTCTTTATGTGTTATTTCTTTAAAAGTGTTGTATGAAAGATGTTGTGTGTCCTACCTCTATCCTCCATTAGGACCTGCTTAAACATGGAAATTAGTTTTGTCATCTTTATCTTTTCCAGCACTTTCTAAAATCCAAAAATAATTGTCTTGACAGCCTGAATGCTGCCATCAAGCTTCTCAATTTTTCGATCTTTTACCTGGCTTGACTGCGTTCATTACAGCCCGCGATGACTTCAGCACTGCTTCATAGATAGCCCTCTGGTCAGGAGTGAACTTTCCATTTGCAGGGAAGGTGCAGGTGATGTCGGAGCCGTAGCAGTAATACTCTCCTCCCATATCAAACAGGCTAAAAAGGAAACAGGAGGAAGAAATGAAATTTTAATTCCAAAGAAATAGTAGAACAGAAGACATTTCTCTTGTTCTGCACTTAAAAGTCATTTGCATTTTGGTAGTTGGTCATATAATCACCACTTGAATGCTGTTCCTAACTAAAATGAGACGACAGCCCCTTGGAAACTCCTAGCAGAAGGGTATCTGCATTATATATGGTTTAAATGGACACCCTTATGGGCTGTACTGGTCCTGGATGGAAACACTGAGAGAACGCATGAAGGAAGATGAAAAGTATATGAGGAATCCACTTCAATCTCTTCAGTTCCAGTTTTTAGAACCTCTTCTCAGAAAAAAACCCATGTCCTTTTTTAGTTTCCTGAGAAATGCTAGGCACCACATAAAGGGTCCAACCTCAAAAAAAACTTAATAGAGAAATGTTAATTAAATTATGGCCTTTTGTATCTAAGTGTCAAAACGTATCTGATGGTTTAAATAAAATGTCCCCAATAAAGGTTGACTGCCACTGCTCACAATATAAACTTCCCTTTAAGACAAACTTGCCTAACAGGGCTTAAAGAAACAAGGATTATGGGTAGATCCAACCAGAAAAGAACATTTAGTACAGTTTTCTGCATCACAGGTAGAAGAAAAAAAATATTAAGTGCTTTCTTTTATGGGGAACACCCCCCCTCCCCCGGTTTACCTCTTGAGACTTACTTATTCTATACATGAATCAATGATTCACCACTGATTCCTCAGCTGCCAGAAATCAATCTACAAGACTAGCAACTGGGTCTCTACACTCTTGTGAGAACTAGGTTAGACATTTGCAATACCATGCTTCTTGAGCTTACCTGATAAGGCACTGCACTGGTTTCAGCAGACTCAAAAACTAGCAAATAACCAAATAACCATCTGGACCAAACAGTACTTGAGCAAATAACCCATCTAGTTCATCATATATTGATTACAAGAATGAACATTTTACATATAAGATTTTGGTCTTGACACACAGTATTTGTATGACCTCCTGATTTCTTAGGTAATGAATCAGAATTGAAATCTGCTAATTTAAGTCTTGTTCCAACGACCTCAAGAAACTCTTATCATCATAAGAAATACAATTTTCCTTCACTGTGTTTGAAAACCTTGGAGTCTTCTTCCTCTTGCTTCTGCTTCACAGCAGGGTCAGTCAGACAACAGAAGCAGAAGGCAGGACACTCCGCTGGGGCACCCTCTCTGCCATCGAATCCTAATTACAGCAGTAATTAGGAAAACTGTACAACATAGCTCTGTCCCCAGCCAGCATACATGACTATGTAAAGATAAGTACAAGCTACCACAAAAAGTGCTACAGCGCTCAGATGTAAATATTCACCATTTCCAACACAACTGCCACTGAAAGCAATGGACAGTAAGTAAATGAAGACAATCATGATAAAGCTAAATAATATTTCAGCAGAGTTGGGACCCTTCTTGCTGCATTGCATATGCAGACACGTATCCATGATGATTTAGTCCAAGAAATTCTAAAATCCACCCTACAATTTCTTCCATGAACAAATCTTTGCACTGAGCGCAAGCCCAGCTGAAGTCATCGCCAGCGCCTGCAGAGAGACTTGCAAGACTGGAACTTCAGGAACAAACCCCATGTTTTACAGATGCAGAACTGCACAAGGCTTAAAGTTACAAGAGCAAACTCTTTAGGAGAATGCTAGAGAGAGAACCGCAAAGTTATATATGTACACGCAGAGCTAATACAAACACTGTATACACGCACTTAAATATGAAATACGGTATGTTAAAACAGAAAGTTGCTAATTGAAAAAAGATACACAATAGACAGCAAGCCTCAGACCCACAGGGTAAAAGAACCACAATTTGACACCAACACAGCAACTGTAAACCAGTCTAGCCAAACCTCAAAATCAGAAACCCCATTAACACTGCCTAAGTTTTGATTTTATGGTTAGACTCGCTTCTAAAAATAACTAATGATACACACAGAAAATCTAAGGCTACATAAAACTAGTTGTAGCAGCTAAGAATCATGTAAGAAGTTGCTACGTTCTCTAATGTGCCAACAAGATACAGATTTCAGATTAGTCATAAATCTTTCAACGTATCCCAGACTGAACACTTTCAAAATCACAAATCAGGTTTCATGGTGCTTTGTGGGATCTGCAGCAGTTTGTGGCCCAACTCTGTTGCATTTACAAGCATAAGTGTCCATTCAGCATGGTGACAGTAAAGCTGTGACCAACAACTTCCAAACCCCCTGTCCATATCTGCTGGCAGATGCTATGCTTTCTATATTTTACCTGGAGAATACCACGGGCAAAATTTTAGCTATGTCTATAACCTTACAATTATCAGCATTTTCTCAAACCCATTAATCGCTGGGTGGTTGTTAAGTAGTTTTTCAAAAGTACTGGAGCACTGAGTAATGGAAAAAAAAGAATCACAAAGGTGATGGTACACCAAAACAAGGCTCACAAACTAGGAACCACCATTTGTTCAGGTTTCTTGGCTTCCAGACAAGAGGAGACATAAGGGAAGATGATCTTTCAAATTCCACCTCAGAGCACAACACACCATCCAGGCTGTATACTTCAGTGAAAAAGCATCCAAACCAAACTGTACGTTTGGGAGATATTTTGGCTCTTATTGGGAATTCTCTTCCATTTAACTTCAGTTGGGAACATATCCATTAGTTAAAATGTTGCCCAAGACGTGGAAATAGCCCAGATATTGCAGTTATCCTGAGGAAATAATGAGAGCCTAAGACGATCTGTTTCATATCTTTGCTTGCCAGGCAAAATAAGTGGTGAAGCACATTTAAGTCGAATATAATGCATATGAGCTACTATCTTCTCCTGTTGACTAATTGGAAAAAGTTTCTAAGAGCAGGTTCCTTAAATCCTAGTTCCTCAGAAAAAATACATTTATTTTACCCTGAAATTAGATGGTAACTGCTAGTAAAAAGAGGTATTATGAATTATTTCAGTACATTCCCAATTGCATCTACAAAATTACCTCCCTGATAATGCAGTCCTACAAGGGTCATGTACAGAAAGAATTACTTAATGTTATTTGGACTGTTATCAAATGTAGCAGCAATCAAAGCAAATGAAATGCACAAATGAAAATAGGCCTTATAGGCATCTTACTCTACGGCTTACCTTTTAAGAACTGTTTAACATAGAGTAACATATGCAATAATATAACAAAGTGCCTCCAAACTCTATTATATTTCCCTTTTAGATAAATAAAGTGCTACGCATCTAGCAGACTGCATATGTTGTCTATTACAAAACTACCCTTTCCCACTCCTGTTTCAGCACGGATGCAATTGTTAATTGCTGATTTCAATGAACGCAGAGATGATGTGTCTGAGGCTGTCAGGCTTCTGAGGTGTCTCAAACGGGAAGGCGGCCAGAGAGGGAGTGTCGCTGATCAGAGAGGCACGCGGTTGTATGTCAAAGTGCTCATTGATTTAGCTTGAAGCTGACGAAGCCTTTCATTGCACAGTTCAATCTCTTTCAAAACCTTCAGATAGAGAAGCTAATCTTGCTTTGCATCACTTTGTTGGGAGCAAAAGCAATGAAAACATACCTGGATTCATTTCAGGGTGAAAAGTGCACGGTGTATAAAGCAGATTTAACAGTCAAAAGACCTGAGCACTCTCTAAAAATTCCGTATTACTGTTTCAATTTTTTTGTAGAATTAATAATAAGCTATACCACAAGTAAAAATGCATAGCAAAAATATTCCAAACTCCTTGGAAGCATGGGCATAGCTCTCCTAAGGGAGGCTTCATTTCTGTGTATATATATACTCTTTCCTCCCAAACATATTGCAAAATACTGTAAACATTATTAAACTCAACAATGCAAAGTATGAGAAAAATCAGATAACCTGTCAGTTGCTCTACTGACAGAATGACTTGCTTACGTATCATTAATACAACATTAGCCAACAGCGTAAAAAAAAAAAAAAAGTTGCCTTCTGCATCTGATTTAGAAGTCACCTTCAAAAATTACTAAGAGCATTTCATTGCTTTCACAGGGAAAAGGTCTGACACCACAACTTGAAACCATTTTGCACATAAAACAGTATGAAGTCGAAAAGAAGCAGAAACATGTGTCGCATGCCACAGCCCTGCAGAAAGGATCGGCTGGACGTGCCCCTCCTTTACAGAGCTTCTCAGCCCTTCCCCAGCAGGTCCGTGGTGCCGCAGGCAGTGGCCCCTCTGTGTCCGACCAAACTGGGGTTCTGCTCCCCATGCAGGAACCCAGGACGGGAGTTTGGAGAAAATATTTCAAGTTCTGTTGATTTTAAGGTGAATACAGACTGGAAAGTCAGTACTGTAACTGGAATGCTACAGGACACGATGCGCAAAAACTCTTTTCCCCTCCCGTCCCTGTGAAACAATACGGATGAGTAAGACGTGGCTGTGTTACTTTCACAGAATGTTGGCACCACAAATTGCAAATTTATACTTACATTTTTGGCTTTCAAGCCCAGAAATATAATATGCATTTTGATATCGATTTTAGCTTTCTTAACCTTTGACTCTGAAGCATCACAAAACACTTTGAGGAACACTTTAGATTTGAAAACCGTGGACTATAAACAGCCACGGTTCTTTTCTTCGTAAAGTCACTGTATACCTTTTTTTTTAAAAATAAAGCATCATCTTCCTCTAAGCATGTGTTTTACTTTTACAGGCTTGCTGACACTTTTATTGTCAAATAATGTGAAGCTGCCAGGCAATGAAGCAAATTATGGCCAATATCACAATGGGAAGCAATACTTTATTTGGGATATCTGAGCCATGTGTATGAATTGTTATGGTCCAACCACCAACCCAACCCAAAGACAAGCTCTCGCAGGCGTTTCTCAGGAAGCCTACAGCTACTCCCATGAGCTAACACGTAAAGCTGTCACCTTCCTGCTCTACAGATCTGCTTGGTCCGTACACTCAGAACTGGATCTCCTCACGACAGTTAT